TGCAAAAGTATCGCACTCGTACTAATTGCTTTTATGCATTACAAATCTTTATCTCAAGGCAAATCCGCATTACAAATTCTATCTCTCATGCTGAGGAATATTGTAATGCAATTACTACTAGTACGATGCTTTTGCATTGCATACATGTCCATAGACGCCAGATTTGCAGCCCCAAGATAAACCTCGTTCGGCTTAATCATCGGCTCAAATTGCGGAATCGCGGTGGTTGTCGCGCCACGACCATCGGAGTTACGATTCTTATAACCTTCTCAGGTGTTACAATCTCAAACGTTACCATAGAGTATGGAAATCTGTGATGCAAGGAATCCATTCTCTAGCCAACTCTCATGGACAGACTGCGCATGACAAGTTCCGGAGTCCCAAACCGCACTACAATCTGGCAAAATTTGCATTGCAGAAAGTGGAATACTGTCCGAGTGGTCTGTCATGCTCATCACGCAATACAAGATCCAGATTCTATTGTAACGCTTATGATTGTCACCTTTGAGCAGGTCATAGTTCTTCACTTCCTTTTCCTTCCTCTCCTTCTCTGTCATCAACCCGGGAATGCGAAACGTCGGCTTCTTCGCAGCTGCTCCTGTTCCCCTGACCGCATCTGCGGCGCTCTTCGAAATTTCGTCGCCGTGGTTCATGTGGTCTGCTCGTTTTGCCGGAATCAAATCCCTTAAATCTAACGGATCATGGACGATAATGTCGAACTTCAGATACTCCAAGGGGTTCGAGAGCTTTATCCTCCCTGTCCGGCGGAATTGCCTCTGCTCTTCCTCCTCTAACTCCAACATTTTCGTTAACTCGTCCATCGACTCCATCGAGCTTGTCAGCGCATCGTTCTTCGTGGTTTTTCGTTTCCTATGTTGCAACGCTAAGTAATCGTCTTCGTCGCCTAAACAGCTATTCATCATCGCTTTCAAAAACGGCATGTCCCGCAGCTCCTGTCGTAACCGCTGCGCTAAGTTCGTTACCCTGCTCACGCCGCCCGCGAGAACTATGTTCATGAACAACTCCGGGCGGATCGGGTGATTGCTGCAGTTGATGGCGTGACAGGTTAACTCCTGGAGCGACGCTGTCGTTTTCAAAGCGCCGCCGACCTCCTCTTCGCTGCCCGAAGGTTGGAAGCTGTTTAAGGTTTGTAAATACGCTTGCTCTTCCTTTGTCAGAAGTGTTTTCCCACCGAGGTTGATCCCGCGAAGCTGCTCAAACATCTGCGGCTTGAACAACGCTTCCAGACATCTGCATCGCTCCGTCTTGATACTGTACACCCGCCCGGTCAGCTTGCACTCGTAATTTTTCGGCTGACACAACTTCAATTCCGTCATCCCGTTGGTCAGGACAAAACCCATTTTGTGCAGAATCTCCTCCGCGTTCTGTAATTGCCGCCACTCCTCGCCGAAAAACTCGATGTCGCGCTCCTCTTTGAGGATATGCATTGCAAAAGTATCGCACTCGTATAAATGCATTACAAATTTCCTCAGCATGAGAAATAAGATTTGTAATGCAGATTTGACTTGGAAACAAGATTTGTAATGCAAGCCTTGCATTTAAACGAGTACGATACTTTTGCACAGGATAGAGGAATTTCAGCAACAACTCCGTGATGTCCTTCCCGCCGTAGTTGTTCCGGTCCACCGTGTGGGGCATCAAATAGCCCTCGTAAATACAGCAGGCGGAGGTGGTCGTTTCCCCAATGTCGACTAAGCAGCCCGTCTTCTTCCCGTGGGCCACTAAAGTCAAAGTGGGGATCTGGGTGACACAAACCGCAATGGCGTCGAACTTGTCGAAGAGAACCCCTACCATTCTTTCCCGATCTAGCTTGCTCGTCCAGGGGGCTTCGGTTATGAGAATTGGGAAACGGTTAAGGAGAGGGTGGTCAAAAAGCTCTTCCTCTTCTTCCTCAGCTGGATTTATTCCTGGGTCTTTGTCTTTATCACCTCCAATCTCGCTCTTATTATCCCCAACACTTGACGCCGTGTCTTTTGAGCCTTTATTTTTCTTCTTTTTGCCAGTCGCGGTTGGAGGGCCCGCACCGGTGTTTGTAGTTGCCCCATTCGGATCTGATACAGCTGGTCCTGGCTCAGTTTCGTCGAAGCTTTTGTACACTGCTCTGTGTTCCCGGTACACCATTTTTGGTCTTTTCACCACGTCTAATTCCAGTTTCGGGTTCAAAAACAGCCGCTGCCACACTTTTTCCAACACTTCCCAATCTTGGACGATGCCATGGCGGATTGGGAAGATCAGCTGCATATCAACTGCAAATATGT